GGGGGCGGCGTACAACAGGGTAAGCGACGATGCGACCTCGCTATTCAGCAGCAAGTTGCAATCCCTAGGGATTGTTATATAGCGGTCAGATCCATCCGTCGCTGCCTCCACGCAGGTGTGACAACCCAAAAACTCGTTTACGTCCTCAGGGGCAACATCGGAACCCGACTCATCGGCTTCCACGACAGGCACACCGACGCTAGTCGACGAACCCCCCTCTGCGGACTGCAATGTACACTAAGACCCTACTCTAGAAGAGTCTAGGGTGTTCTAGTTTGAACTATAGCATTCTAACCCCTTTTAAGTGCCCAAAATACCCCTAGAATTACTAACCTAGGCAAACCCAAACCTCCAACCCTGATAATTGGTCAAGGATTGACCATGGTTAAGCAAAGATCTACCCTACTCAGCTATATCCAAACAACTAAACAGGGTCGCCTAGAAAATTGAAGCCTATACTTAGTAGAAACACTAAATTGAAACAATGGCATTCATCGAAACCAAATTAAACTAATCAAAAATCAAAATCACAATTAACTAATCATTGAAACAATCACTAATCAATAACCAAATTATGAAAAACTGACATGTTATGAATTAAAACTAACCTAATACGAACAGACACAAATCATGTATAAACTAGTCAAAACCTACAGAAACATACATGAATGATTTAAACAAAGTTTAAACTAATTTTAAGATTCAGATAATAAAAGAAGAAAAAATAAAAATAAAACTTACTCATGCTAGTTTGAACCAACCGAACTCCGATTCGAGCACCGGAATGATGTACACGCGTGTTCTTCAGTAAAAACAAGCGAACACATTATCTCGAGACTTGACTCGAGCTCCAGACTCAGGAAATTGGGAAAATTCGAGGTACTCAGATTTCTAGGGTTCTGCCCCCCCTTTTTTTTTTAAAATTGAAATGCGAAGAATTGGAGGGGGATTCGAGCAAAGACAGACAGAGATTTGAGAAGAGGGAAGCTAAGAGAACCCAGGGTGTTATTTTGAAGCGGTTTGGGGAGTGGCGCCCGCCGTGCACGGCGGTGGCGACGCTAGGGTTTAGGTTATTTGGAGAGTTGGGATGGGATTTGAAAGAAAATAATCATGGAATTGTGGTGAGGAGAGGGAGACGAAGCTGTGGTGAGATTTTGGAGGGTGTTAGGGTTTTGCCGCCGCCGTGGGCGATTTCCGGCGGCGGTTTGCGGCGGAGGGCGGTGGGATCGAACAGGGTTCGAGGAGGAAGGGTTCTGTCTCTAGGGTATTTGGATAATTTTATTTAAAAGATGAGATTGAACCAAGGCCGTTGGATTAGAATGAATGGGTGGCTTGGATTGATTTGGCATTAACTAACTCAAACGATGTAGTATCATTCTCATACTACGTCGTTTTGTTGGTCATCAGGGCAGGGTCATGTGGATTGGGTAGGGGCGTGTTTGGGCTGACTTTGAAGTGGGTTTGGAGGGGATTTGGGCTAATTCCAACCAGGTTTGGCCCAAAAATGGGTAACATGAAGACCACTCAATTTCTTTCAATTTCCTCTCCTTTTATATTTGATTTTTATTTATTATTATTTTCTGATTTTTTGTAAAATGCAAAATTAAAATAAGGACCTGATTTACTCCCAAAATTATACTAATTATTTTCTCAAAATTGATTAAGTCCTAATTTAAAAGAAAACTCATGACAAATTCAAAAATTAATAGTTAAAAATGCAAAATGAACTTCTTTTTGTTATTTTCTTCTTTGTAAAGTAACCTAGTTACTAATTAATCCTAAAATGCAAAATTAAGCCCTAAATGCAAATGCCAAGTATATTTTGTACTTTTCATCAATTAAAATGCCGAAACAAAATGCAAACAATTAACATAAAATGTCACAAAAAATTCACAAAATTGCAAATAATGAAAGAAATTATTTTGTTTGAATTTTTGGGAGTAATTCATATAGGGCAAAAATCACGTGCTCACAGCTGCCCCTCTTTGCTCGGAAACATGAAGAGTTTTCGTGCAAAGATAAATGAGCGGAAACGAGCGATTTTTGCCCGTTTGAATATTCCGTGTGAAGCAATTCTGAAAAGATTTGACCGAAACCTGCTTCAAATATTGCCTACATATCCTTGGCTAAAAAGGAATCAGGTCAGTGTAGTTCGGGAAGGTTTGGTAGCTGGGACTACCAGGAGCTGTGATTTCACTGCTGTTGCTGCTGCTACTGCTCGCTGACGTCCTTATTACACCGTGTCAAAATAAAAAGAAGCTAGCCTAAGCTATGATCTATGAATTACAAAAAGGTCCTAACTATGTCTTCAAACTTGCTCGTGTGTTGCCTTGAACTTGTATTCTTCCAAGGCAGGCCAAGTCCGGGTTTCCTCCGTGTAAGGCAGCAGGCCGGCGACCCATCTCCTTAGCTCGACAACGGGTTGGGGCGGACGAGCCATGGCTGTAACATGAAAGTTAGAACTACGATAACAATGTGCAACAAAGAACTCGATGAGCTACGACACTTACGTGTTTTGTTCCATCTTTCTGGAAACCCGGTAGGGTTGGATACCATATGCTCGGTCTTGATAAAGAAATATTTGTGCCAAAATTTACGGCTCGGCCAGTCGTCGATTCCCACCACCAATCCCTTCGTACCACGCATCCTCAAGTGCACCATGGTCCCTCTAAGGAAACCGGATGTGAATAAGTGCAAGAGATGATGGACGGAGACGCTACATCCGGCCAACGCTGCATATCTAGTCAATAGCAGCAACACTTTAAGTGTATACGGCGTAAGCTGAGCCGGGAAGATATGGTAGAATCTGCAGAACTCCTCCGCCAAGGGAAAAAGGGGAAGACCATAGCCTATCAAGAAGGGGTACTCATAAAAGGCACAATACCCCGACCTGTGAACGTCGACGTGATCCTCCCCCGCCGGGACTATCTCTACGTGGTCTGGAATGCCATATTTTGCGCGGAGGTCATCCAGGTGATTCTGTCCCGTCTTAGAGCGCACTGTAGCCGGAACTGCGGAATCTTTGTTGAAATCACACCGAGGCAGAGAATGCCTCGGTAATAGAGCTTCCACCGTGAGAGGACTGATATCCTCTTCCACTTCCACCTCCCCGCCATCGGAGGAGAGCGGTGCCTTTGATGGAACCATCTCAAGAACCTTTTCTTCGGTACGGCGAGACTTGGGCATATTTTCGTTCGAAAAAGATCACACGAAAAGAAATGAAGAAGAAAAATCTCTGGTCAAGAACGGAGAGTACAGAAACACGAAAATCAATAGAAGAGGGCTGGGAAATTCTCAGGAATGACCAAAGTTTTCCAATGAAATTAAACCCTTCCCCTATTTATAGGGTTGGGTGGCGCCAGAATCGAGGCGTCAGATTTCAAATCAACGCGGGAAACCAAGCGCCAAAGCGTCAGTTCTTTTCTGCCTCGAGAATACGCATAATGATGACGAACGCGAACGCTGACGTCACTCAAGGCGGAACGTTCTACTTCAACGTTCTAACAGGAATGACAGCAGTTTTATGCCGGTCACATCTTGTCAAGTCAACAAGTCAAACTCTTCTTGACGGACGCGTTGAATCCACCCATCGAGGACGCATCCCGTTGCGACCCCGACGAGCGGAGGGACTAACTGTATGGGGTCGAATTTGACCAACCACGTTCTACCGTCAACATGACCAACCACCGAATGTTTGCGAGCCAACACGAGAGAATGACCCCGGGGTGAGAAGAGGGACGACCTCGAACTAACCCTGGGCTGACTCTTTCCTCACGTGCCGGCCTCCCCGATCGGATAGCATCGGCCATAAACACGGGCGCCGAGGCCACCCGAGATGTTCCACTGTCATCAGCTTCAACAGCCACCCCCTTCCCCAGCTCTAGTCTTCTCCTTTTCCTTTCCGGCGGCTCCTCACCATGAGGAGATTCGTCGGCGGGTTGTGGAGCCGGTGTCAACAAAGTCGGCTCCTCTATGGCCACAGCCGCGGACGTAGCTCCCGGACAGGGTATAAGAGAATGACCCTCGCGAACAGACTCGCATAGAATATCTTGAGCGTCCGCGGTGGTAATAGGGCGCACGAAAGCAGGGGCTGTCACCTTCTTCCTAGAAGCTCCTCGACCTATTACCACAAAATCGCGGTTAGGCAAGGTCTTCTAACCAACAAAGCAAAATCGGAAGTTTACCTGTAGAAACTTGAGGGCCATAGTGTTGCATGTGTCACACCTCCTTTTTCGCTACACCCGTAAGGGTATAAAGGAGTTTTTCCACTTAAAGGACAATCGGAACGGGATTTATTATTAAAATTCAGAGTCGCCACTTGGGAGATTAATGGTGTCCCAAGTCACCGGTTGAATCCCGAACCGAGGAAATTATGACTCTGTTAACAGTCCGCGAACCAGAAATCTGAGTAAGGAATTCTGTTAACCCGGGAGAAGGTGTTAGGCATTCCCGGGTACCGTGGTTATAGCACGGTCGCTCAACTGTTATATTTGGATTTATCTGATTTCAAAACATGTTTTAGCTTATGTGCTTTTTAACTGTAAACCGCTTTCATTATTATTTTAACGAGAATTGCAACGTCGTGAAAACGTGTCTCGAACCACGTCACATAAATGCACCCGTGGTTGTCGACACATTTCGACTTCGTTGAGATTTGGATTTGGGTCACATAAATGTGCACCCGAGTTTAGGAAGGCAATGTTAGGACTGAGCTCGAATCCCCCCATTATATAAAGGGGATCCGAACCTTGTAATAGGCAGACAACTTGTAATAGAAAAACTGATTCTCTCCCTAATTTTGATCTCGATATCACTCTCTCCTTCTCTCTCTCTATCTCTTTCCTTTATTGCTATTATTGTTCCGATTATTGAAACGATCCTGGGGATTATTATCTTCAACTACAATTTACCCATTCACCTCTTTGATTGATTTGCTTAAAAAAAGGTTTAACATCTTTTGAGTCAAACAAGTTCTATTCATCGACTTATTATTGTTTCAGGCGGATGTAGAAATCTCCTTCTCAATCCCAATCGCAACGCTTGAGCAAGCAGAGGTGCTGGACTCAAGTTGGAGTAATTCACAAGAGCTATGCCGCCAAAAAGCTTCATCAGCAAACAGTACTGGTGTAGGACCTTTTGGATTGCTAGTATTGGCCTCAAATAACATTGAAGAATATACTGCAGTGTTCTTTAGAATTTTCAAAAAGAATGACAAGTTTGTTGTGCTAATGGGCTGTGATCAGAGAAGGTATCTCCTCAACTCCTCCTTTAATTTTCTCCCTTTTAGGATAGGGTACATAATCTGCTGCATGCAAAAATCACTAGTCTTTAGGCTTATTTGCAGCTGGTGGTGGCAAAATAGATTAAAAAAAAAATAGTTATCCACTCGTATTACTCACTATAAAAATGGGTTGGATAATGAACTTTTTAAAAACGGGTCAAATATGGATAAGAACCATATTATCCACTTAGAAAATGGATAACCAATGGATAACTAATGAGTTTAACTTTTACATTGTAAAGACTCAAATTGGGGGTTCCTCAAGTTTGAGAGACTAGAAATTCTCCCAAAAATGATTATATTCAAGAAGTCATGGATAATATGGATATTCACATGATCCGCCAGTTTTCAATCCGTATCATATTTGGGTTGGGTCGGATAATTTATCTGTTTTGACCCGCTCATATCTAACCCGGCCCGTTTGCCACCCCTATTTGCAACGTATAAACGCTTTGTTGGGTTTTTAAGCATTAATATGGCTTAAAAGAGGGTGAATGGGAAATGATGGAAAATAAAAATTTTAAGTTCTTGTCCCATATTGGAAGAGGAAGAGGTTTTTGATGGGTATATAAGCAATTGCTCTTCTTCTAGCTCTTAAAGAGTAGAGAAGAAGGCAAGCCTCGCGCCGTCGTCGCTCGCTCGGCTTCGGATTCGGTCAAATGATTGATAGATTAATTTTTGGACCAAATTTATTTGTTAATAGTAAATATTAACAGAAATGATATTAAGTATCCGTTTTAATAACAGAATATTAATATTAATATTAATATTAAATCCAACGGAATATTAAATGTTTTTCCGTTATCCGTTTTCAATTTTTCGGTTGTGTAACTGAAAATTGCATAAATTAGCCATTTATGTTATGGCATTTATGCTATGACCGTTTTGCATAAAGAACCATTCTGAAGAGTTGCACCTCTTCAGTTTTCAGCCCAACATTGGTTAAATACAAGTCCATTCTCTCAGATTTTCCATACGATTTTCTGAGTTCTCCTCCTTTCTTCTGCATACTTTTAACTTCAAAGAAAGCAACAGTAAGTGTGATTTGCTATCGAACTTTGTGTTCGCTGAAACACTGGGGTTTGAAGTACCACTACACCAGTGTGTAATTCGTTCTATCCTGGGAGAAAATAATCCATAACCTTGAGTACTAGGAGGGGATTAAATTCCTTAAGGAAATACTGTGAATTCAGTGAGCTCGGATTAACTTTTGTTTGGTTTACATTTTCTATTTATATATTATTCTATCTTTTTCAGAAATAGTTTACAAATACAGTTTATTAACATGCTTTTGAAAATTTAGCTTCCAAATAAACTTTCCTAGTTTCACTAGTCAATACTACTTGATGGAATATGACAAGTTTGGAAGTGTTTGTCTACATTTAACTTACATAGTCGCCCACCTGACTTTCATTATGAATTTATCAAATGCAGGTCGGCTGAGGGTCTTGAGTACGACACAAGCAAATATGGAGCCTTTTTGGATGTTGATCCTGTTACGGAAAACTTGTCATTGAGGACTTTGGTAAGTTTACTATCAAAATACAAATCTCCTAAATTTTTAATAATGCAAAACACATGTAACATATTCAAAGCTCGAAATAGCTAGACTAATTATATGCTTTTTTTTTATTTAACAGATTGATCATTCCATAGTAGAAAGCTTTGGTGGAGGGGGAAAAGCTTGCATTACAACCAGAGCTTATCCTACTTTGGCCATCAACGATAATGCCCATATATTTGTTTTCAACAATGGATCCAAAGATGTTGAAATCTCCAGTTTGAGTGCTTGGAGTCTAAACCAAGCTCAGATCAACGAAATCGCCATTTTATTTTAAGATTAAGTCAGCTTTTGAGAATAGGTATATATAAATTTTGCATGAGTTTTCTTATATCTCATGAACCTGGTCGCTGAACAGATGCGTTGTACGTGTTAATTTGTGTCAATTATAATAAAATTTGTATCTCATAAATAATAAACTTTTATCTGCATATATAATATCTGTATTAGAGTAATAAAGTAGAAATCAGAGTACCAAGGTTACTACTAGTCGTTTGAACAAAGAAGATCTAAATAAAAGTGATGCTATTTTACTGGCCAACTGCTTGAATTAGAGATTATTGGATATCATGTAAACGCAAATTAAGATTGTTTACCTCGAAAATACGAGTAACAATTAAATTTGATTTATGGTTTTAAAGATATGTGATATAATTCAATGCCAATTAATAATCAAGAAATATAGAGTGTAGATGAAAGAGATGGATGAATCAAAGCAGTGTTACTTAAGCAATTGACCTCGAACTCAGTGACCTCGAGATGGACCAAGAATAATAAAGTAAAAGGACAGCTCTGATGAACAATAAGCGAGAAAAGTAGGATAGTATATTCTTTGCCAATGATTAGATGATGTTAAAAATGATTGAGGTGAGTCCGACACCTAAATGGCAAGTTTTTGGACTCAAAACACGTTTCTACAGTTTTGAAAAAAAAAAGTTACTTTTCTACCTAAAACGCGGTATTATACTGCATTTTACTTTAACGGAATTTTAGCCGTTAAAATAAAACACAGTATAATACTGCGTTTTACATCATGTGTGCTTAGTCCCAAAGAAACGGAAATATTTTGCCGTGGGAAACGTGCATCTTGTATTGTGGGAAAACGCAGCATTTTCCATCCCAAAGAAATGAGATCTGGGGAAGCACACATCCCACAGAATACTTCTTCCTTCTTTAGTTGTCTGTGTGATATAATTCTTGGGTGATTTCAGTGGTAATGTTCTTTCTGTAAATTGTTAAAATATACTGCAAAGTATAGGGTCCTGTTATCATTCAACTTTGAAAATTGACAGGAGATTATTATAACTAAAAAGTTTTGGCATAAATGTGGCGTAGTGCATTACTACTGTTTGTTTAGTCACAAATTGTTTTGTGGTTTATATTACTTTTTTGTACTTTCTAAGTATGTAATAAGTACTATTATTTTTGAAGACAAACTCATGCTAAATTCGCATATAAAAATTAATATTTTCAGAAATGATAAAAATATAATTTCTCACGATCTTTAAATAAGAAAGATAGAAATATGTATCACTAGGCAACTACTACAAATCTTTTCAAGTCGGATTCGAACATGCAACCAATTAGTTTATAACCTACTCTAGTATTCTTGTATAACTGAGGTATTCCGGATTCATCATTATTTTTCTGAAATAAAATGATACTACTACTATTTATTTGGGTTTTATCACTGATAATATGCAGCTCTAAGAGCCCGTTTGGCCGTGAAATGTTTTTTACTTTTTCTCGAAAAATTTTCACTTTTTTTTCGAAATCAGTATTTGGCCATAAAATTTTTAAATTTTCACTTGAAGATGAATCTTGAAATTTTTCGAAAATTTGAAAAACTACAAAAAACCGTTTTTCAAAATTTTCACTCAAATCACTCACAAAAATTCAAAAAACAACCCAAAATTGTATTCATATCTAAACACAACTCTGATTTTCAAATACCATTTTCACTTGACAAAAAATTTCACTTTTTTTCGAATTACTATTCTTATGTCCAAACGCCCTATTCTTTTCTTCATCATTCCAAGTTTCCAAACAGCTATCTTTTCCCCCAATATAACTATTTAATAATTAAGAAATAACAATTGGAACAGTAATATCAGTAGTTTGAATCGCCACGTCAGTCTGCTATTTAAGCATATGAAAATTTCTCCAAAATGGAACACATAAATAAAAGAAAAACTAAAATTTGGAATGTAAAAGAAATATGTGAAAGAATTACTCTAAAATAAAAGAAAAACTAAAATGTGTGCTTCCCCAGATCTCATTTCTTTGGGATGGACTGCGTTTTCCATTGCTTTGGAACTAAGCTCACATGATGTAAAACGCAGTATTACTTTAACAGCTAAAATTCCATTAAAGTAAAACGCAGTATAATACCGCATTTTAGGTAGAAAAGTAACTTTTTTTTTCAAAACTGTAGAAACGTGTTTTGAGTCCAAAAACTTGCCATTTAGGTTTTGGATTCTGATTGGGGTCCCCTTTATATAATAGGAAAACCCTAAATAAGGTACATTTCTATTTACAGTAAGGAATATTATTGGTACATCTGTCTAACCGCCTAGTACGGAATCGTACAATTCTATCCCGGGATTTGCACCATGATCTTGGGGACGTGGCAGGAATCTCGCTCATTCTGTTAAAAATCCATAACGACATTATTTCGAGGTCGAGCTTCGGTATTCCTCGTACTCCTATCCTCAGGCCTTGCATCCTATCTTTGAGCTCGAGTCTGATCCATCGGGCTCGAACTCGACCTTGCCTGAACTCGGGCTTGGGGCGACCCCTCAAGCCTATAGATCGAAGGCATACGATCTTGACCATATACAGATAGTCCCCGCATTTCTTAGAGTAGGTCGATAAGAAACGATTTGATCTTCGATGTTTCGACGCCTCGGTCCCAATGTCAATCTCGTGATGTCAGCGGCTGAAGTGACTGAAAGGTCGCTTTCGTGCAGTTCCCAAAGTCATTAATTGGAGGCGGCTGATGGACGGCTATTTGGCTTCCCCAATACGCTTAAGTGACTTCTATAAATAGGCCAACTTCACAATTTTTTTTGCAAACTTTATTTCTCTAATCGTTTTGAAAATCTCATTAGCTCCTTCAAATTCTCTAAGTTCATCCTTCTCTTTAATTTGCCCTTACTTCACCGTCAACCCTTTCTCTTTGAATTTCTATACCATAATGGCTAAAACATCTAAGTTCGTTTCCCAAAAAGAAAAAGCCTCTTCATCATCCCGACCGTCCAGAAGTAAAACGGTGGTGCCACCTCGTATCGAGGAGTGTATTCCCCCGTTGTGTGAAACAACCTCCGATTTCAAAATTGAGAAACCCGTATCGACACCAGGCCGATGTGAGCCCATGTATCGATACATTTGTTTGATAACCAAAGATGAGCTCCAGCAGGTGAAAAAGGACTGCAACTGGGAGAACAAAGATGTAGTGATCCCTTCCCCTGAAGAGGGCATCACTACTCACAAAGCAGGGTACCTAAGCGTGTACACCTACCCATTCACGCTGGGCCCTGCCGATCCAGCTCTGGGTCCAATTGATCCACTTATTCTTGATTTTTGCCAACAATACCAAGTGACGCTTGGCCAGATATATCCTTCATTCTGGCGCATCGTCAACCTGATCAGATTCTTCTCGAAACAGGTCGAGGGAATGCCTTTTACCCTCGATCATCTGATCAGGCTATACAGTCCTCGTCTCTATCGAGGTGGTCTAATAAATCTGCAACGCCGATCCACGAAATCTCTCTTCTCTAGCATCGATGAAGACAAAGATCGAGGGTGGATGAGCCGGTTTGTCCGAGTCAGGACTTTCGATCTGATACCTACTTAGAGGATGCCATTCCCCGAAGAATGGAATATGAAATGTAAGTACACGTTTGTCGATAATGACTTTATGACCTGTTTTTTCCCTTTCTTTCTTGACTTCATCTTTTTTTCTCGGTCTAACCCCTTTTCGATGGTGTAGCTGTTGCTTGGTTTCCTGGTGCGGTCCCAGACCTCGAAGGTTGGGTCCGAAAGCTGGTCTCTACTTCTTCGTACGCGGAGCACAGCTGACGTGACTTGGCCAAAGGTCGATAGGAAGCTAAAAACCATGGTGAGTCCTCTTGTTTGCTTATTTGTGCTTCTTAGAGAAATACTTACTTTATCTTTATGCAGGCCTCGGAGACGCCATTGCTATGCAGCCGCCCCCGCCCGACGAAGAAGAAATCCCAAAATCTTCCAAAGAAAAGAAAAGGAAGAGGGGGTCTCCTACAAATTCTTCGAAGCCGAAGAAAAGCAAGGCTCGAAAGCCTAAGGCCGATACTGTGGCCCTATCTGCAGGAACGGCCCAACGCCTTAGGGACGAGGAGGAAGAGAGGGAGGACAACGACTGCCTATTGGTAGTTCGAAAAAGAGGAAGCACTGACGCTTCAAAGTCTGCCGAACCGATGATGGCTGATGCGGTTCATTCCAGGACTGAAGAAATCTCCGAGGGGAGTTCGAACAAAGTCCACCCATCGGGCAGCAAAAGAGCACCTCGTCTTGAAGGTCATTTGGAGGGTGAAACCGAGGGTCCCGGTCCCGAGACCCTTCAAAGAGAGGAGAATGCCCCGAGTAGATCACTTGGGGTAATTAATGTGGATGAGTCGCCGCCTAGTCCTGAGTTCTCCGAGGGGCAATTCCGGGATGCTCGGAACATGAGAACTCCTGATGTGGGGACGAGCCAAGAAGGGCACGATATCTTTCGAGAGTGCCTTGCAGGGATCGAAGATGGTCCAGATCCAGATGCTTCTTTTATTCTTGACGAGGCCCATCGGCTCTTCGCACAAGTAAGTTTCTGTCCTTTAAAATTACGCCTGCGCTATATCCTTGTTGCTCAGAGTCTAACCTTTCCTTTTTTGTGAAGGCTGTGACGCTTCATCGAGAAGCATTCTCCAAGTCCCGAGCCGAGCTTGCTCGATGCGAGGCCGAGCTCAAGAAGCTCTCGGAAGAGAGGGATGGCCTTAAGATCCTCTATGTCAAAAAGGAGGGAGAGATCAGTGACCTTCGAGCTGAACTGGCGGAGGCTCGTCAAGAACGGACCGAGCTTGTCGAAAAGGTAATATACCCTTTGAGGCTTTGCTATGTATTTGCCCGATTGACCGGCTAACATTTCAACTTTTCATGTTCAACAAAAGGGCGAGCTGGTGGAGCAGCTCCGAGAGGAGCTCAAGATGAAGGAGGCCGAGACCCTAGGGTGGAGGCAAGGCATGGACAGTCTCGCCTCGGAGAAAGATACTCTTCGGGAGAAGCTGGCTTCAATCGAACGCCAACTTCTAAGTGTGAAGGAGGAGAGCCTGGCTCGGAGTCGCAAAATCGAGGAACTTGAACCTAGATCTGCTGCCGAACTTGCTAAGGCCAAATCTGACGCAGAGGCATTTATATCTTCGTATCG